ATGAGATTTATTCAGACGTATGCCTGGAATTGACAATAAAGATGTAATCTTCCACGTGAGGATGCTTTGCAGCGATGCCAGCTATCTCAAAGTGACATAAACATGGAGTTAGGTGTTCCCAGTGCCCCTAGGGGAATTCCATTTTCATCCTTCTTTTCACTGAGAAACTGAGGAACAAAGAAATGAAGGAACTGGCCTTAAGGATGGCAGTGTGAGTCAGCAGCCCCACCAGGAAGCCCGGGCTGTGCCTCCTCACTTCCTGGTTCCCTCTATAAATATTCGAGTACATTCCCTTCCTTTCCCAATAGGGTCTGTGGCCGCAACTCAAGGCTCAGAAATTCGGGTCACGTTGGCGAGGGGCGAGGTACACTGACACCATCAGAAACATGGGTCAGCAGAAGCAGATATTTCTTCTGAGATGGGGCTGTCTGTCCCCTTCCTTCTCTTGGGAACCCGATTTGCTCTGATGCCCTGACGTCCTCTCTTTAGAGGACCATCCTCCCGGCTCCCCATTCTCCAGCCCGTGGCTGCGCAAATTAGCAGCGCTCTTTGTCCCTAGAGCCCCGGAATCCAATTGTGTTCCAGTGCGTGCCAAAAAAGCCTCCAAAGTGTGCCGTGCTTTGTAAAGACACTGGCGCGTGCTCAGGCAAAGAATTTTGTTCTGCTTAAAGGCCACCAGAATGTTTGTTTGGCCATCCGTCCCTCTAAAGCAAAGAAAGGAAAGAAAAGGCTGGGGGACTGCTTATTCGACCCTTCCAGAGCTGAGTGGAAGTTTCACCAACTTCAAGGAAAGCGTGCACACACTAAACCCCCAACTGTCTGAGGACTTTATACTGTTTTAATCCACCGGAGCCAGATTCTGGAGCAAAGGGCAGCTGCGATCATTCTAGAGGTTATGTCATAGATGGTGTAACCTTACCTTCTGCCCACTGGGATCTTATCAGCTCTGTGTTCCTGGTCTATTTTGAGACCTATCTGAGCCAGCTACCTGGGACATGGATAGTGTGAACAAATCAACGTACAGCTGACAAGACTTAAATTTAAAGGGAGAGTATAAATCTGCAACTCTGACTCAAATCAACCAAGTAGGTGGGGTGGGTGGGGACACTCAGACACATCTTTCCACTGAGGTTTCTTTGTTATTCAGGCAAGAGGACTATTTAAAAAGTTGAGCTCTTTCCTTGAGGCCCAGCTAAAAGCGAGCATCCCAGGCAGGCAGGTCAGTCCCAGGCTGTGCAAAGGTCCCTGTTCATGGCCCGGGTTTTATGGATGGGAAATTCTGGCTTCTTTCTTTGCCACTGGCAGGTGGCCAGTTCTCAGAGCTGAACCTCACGCTATACTTCCAGCTATTTCAACAAAGCATGCAGCCTCTCAGTCTGAGAAGTGTTAGCAGCTTTAAGAGGCAGTACTCTGGTTGTCCTGCTGTCCCCAGTACCCCCAGGGCCAGCGACAGTGCTGGCTGCCTGACACGTAGCACATGCTCCCTGCCTGGCTGCCTGGCGGCTTGCTTGCTGGGACCCAGAAACCACAGTTTCTGACCTTGCCGAGTTGAGACACGCCCCTTCCTCCCAACTCCCAAATAAAAAAACGCTTCCTCTTATTTCTCCATTAAGTGACTGCTGAGGACTGAAGCCGGGACATCAGCTGGTCCTATTGCCTCCATTTGGTTTTTGTCTTCTTCATAAGACAGGGGAGGAGTTGGTTTACAGCAGACAATCTTACCAGATTTTAATTAGGGGTGGTTAGTGAAGCCTCATCTCCATCAAAATGAGAGGTACGGGCTGGTGGCAAAGCTCAGTGGTAAAGAGACTGCCTAGCAGATGGGAGGCCCTGGGTTCCATCCCCAGCACTACCCAAAAGAGCAGGGGGAGTATACACCAAGGAAAAGGACCAGCTAAATCATCAGCAGATGAGTCATCGCTAAGATGGCTTGGGTTCCTGAAAAGATGAAAGGTGTGTTCTCATCCAAGCTAGAAAGAGAGGCTTGGTGGGGGGTCGGCAGGGTCAAGCCCAGAAGATGTTCCACATTTTTAGCCGCCATATGTGTCCAATAGTGGGTGGCTCTTCCAGCTTCCACGTGGCATTTGTTGACTTAATAGCTATTGTGTGCAATATCCTTCTAATTGGCTTCTCCTTTGGCAAATAATAAACAAACCATCCCAGAAACTTTTCTGCAGAAAAGTTGGGGACTCATTTGCTTCCAAAATAATTTTCCCTCTTTTTTTTTAAGGTAGACTTAAATAAGTCTTCCAAAGTCTCCCCTTTTGGATGACGATCTCTAGAAGTGAAAAGGCCAGTATAATTAGGTTAAGTTACAGCTAAGCCAGGGCCATCTGTGCATAGAATGTGCGGATGATCTTGGTAGTGGTCAAGCCACTTACCAACCTACTATCCACTGGGAAGTGATAAAGCAAGAAGTGACTAAATAAGGGTGGGCTAAGGAAACAGCTGTCATTATTTGGGTTGTTTACAACAGTTCTTGTCTTTCCAAAGACAAGACATTAGATCGAAGAGCTAATGAGGAGGTTCCCCTCTGTGATCATTAAGGATCTGGATTCACGGAGCTAGGTTCAAATCCTAATTCGGTCACTTACTGGCTGCATGACCTTAGACAAATTACTTAGCCTCATTAAGTGTCAAATTCTTCATCTGTAAAATGGAAGAACCATATCTTCCTCACAGGGTTGTTGTAGAAATTACCATAAAATGCCAGGTGAAGAGTAAGGGCTTAGTAAGCGGTAAATGATTATTAGGAACTAAATAAAATGAAGAGGATTTGCTAATAAACAAGGCTCTTCCAACTAATCCACCTTCAGTGATGATCCGGGAGCTCAGTCTGTATCATCCTTCTCACCGGAAACCTAGCTCAGCAAGGATGCCATCTGCTTGCTTGATGTATGTAGTAATCCAAGACCAAAGTCCCTTTAAAAAAATAGCCTACTGAAGGGAGAATCATAAAGAACAGGTAAAAACTTTAGAGTAAAAATTTATTTTGTAATAAGAACCTTCGGAAATACTCTGAACATCACGTGTTTCTGACAAGAACCACCCAATTTTAAGTCTTCATTCCTGTAAAAAGTCAAAGCAGAGACCTATATCTTGGGTATTTCAGGTCTGATAGTGTGCACTGATTGTGAAAAATTTTTGTAGCTTTGGACACTACAGTCAACCTTTGATATTTGAGGGGGGATTGGCTCCAGAACTCCCTGGGGTTACCTAAATCCTCAAAAGATCAAGTTCAAGAATCTAGGCAATCCTCTCATATACTTTAAGTCATCTCTAGATTACTTACAATACCTAATAAAATGTAAATGCTATGCAGTTAGTTATTGAACTGTATTGTTTAGAAATCATGACAAGAAAAAAATCTGTACATATGTAGTACTGATGAAAATTTTGTTTGGTTTGGTTTGGTTTGGTTTGGAACTGGGGATTGAACCCCGGGGCACTTAACCACTTAGCCTCATCCCCAGCCCTTTTTATTTTTTTATTTTGAGATAGGGCCTCACTAAATTGTTGAGGCTGGGCTCAAACGTGCAATCCTCTTGTCTCAGCGTCCCAAATCACTGAGATTATAGGCATATGCCACCATGCCTCACTATATGTAAATTTTAAAAATATTTTCTACTTTCTGTTGAATCTGTGGATGTGGAACCCATGGCTATGGAGGGCCGATTGATTATTAGATAAATATAAAGAAGTGGCAAAAAAGAGATGCCTAGAGCTTCAAGTTCTAACAACCAAATGCTTAAATAAATACATAGAATAGAATGTTGAATGTCTCCGATAGGCCCACATGTTAAAGGCTTGGTCCCCAATGCATGGAGCCCCTGGGAGTTGGGGGAACTGCTAAAAGGGGAGGCCTAGTGGAAGGAAGTCGGGATGTGCCCTTGAAAGGGATATTGGGACCCTGGCCTCTTCCTCTCTCTCTCTTTGCTTCCCAGCCCTACCAAGTGCTCCTGCCAGGATGCACTGTGCTGCCACAGGCCCAAAGCAACAGGGCCAAGTGATCGTGAACTGAAATCGGAAATGATAAGCAAAAATAAATATTTCATCTTTGTAAGTTGTTCATCTCAGGTATTTTATCACATGATAAAAGGCTGATTAACACAAACACCCTACCATATACAAAAAAAAAAAATCGTATTACGTAAAACAGGACTACAGGGGGAGAGGAAGAGAGTTTGCTTTACCAAATCAATGAAGATGTATCCATCTTTCTGGGCCCCTTCCACATAGGATAGCAGTTGTGTTTTTTAGAATTCACTGATTTTAAAAGCTACGTAAGCACAAAGCAATAGTATAAATCTAGTAACAGCTTTTAAATGAATTTGTGATGTGTTAGTTGGTGACAAAGACAACCATTTGGATAGAGCGCCTTTATATAGGTAAGTACTATTATTGTTTAGCCTACAGAAGGTGCTGGAGCACATAAAGCATCACGAGTCCTTTGCTCTAACCCAGGGATCCTGAGTGAGGATTCAGCCACCAACTGGAAACCACTGACTAAGAGCAGAAACGCCATGTGAAAGTAGGAAGAGTTGCTCAGCACATCCTTAAGTGTTTTCTGTCATTTAAGTAAGACTAGAATAAAATGCTTTCCCCTGAACCTCTGAGCATGTGAAGTTGATCTGTTTTGTACTTAGTTTCTTTTCTGTGGATTTTGACACCCCACCCATGTCACCATTTCCCAGCTTGCTATAAACCAGAAGTATTACCAATCAAATATTTATTGAATGATAGTGATCTCACTTACATCCTCTATGGTGTCTATCCCTTCAATTAGCCACATTTCTATTGTGTTGTCTTTGTGATATTTTGATAGTTTGCAGATGCAGATATATCTTATATGAATAGAAAGGGGGGGGCGGGTCCAAAGTCACTCAAAATGGAACCAGAACTGTTGTGACCACATGTGTTTTAAATATCCTACCCATTCAATTAAGAATATAATATTATAAGCCAGCTCTATAAATCTTAGAATAAAAACAATAACATACCAAGTCTTCTTAGCCACAAAGAGGCCCCGAAGAATACTATAGATTCCATGATGATGTGATTTGGAGACTGTCTTAATTTTCCATAGGAAGAACATTAGTTTTCTGGAATAAAACGCCACACACCCCTTTCTGTACATCCCTAAAATGAAGGAAAAATGTTTTTCTTTCAATAGACACCCCCCAAAAAAACAAAACTTTTATTTTTAAGATACTCAAAAGTAGAGATAGTAGTGTGATGAATCCTTAAATACCTATCACTCAAGTAAGTGTCATCGTGCAGCATCAGATTTCATCTATGTTCATTTCATTTGTATTCATTTCCTTGGTGGGTACCAAGAAAACTGTATTCTTTTAATACCAGACACCACAGCATTCCAGTCAGTGCAAATATTTATTATATAGGTCTAAGACATGAAAACTTTTAAAACTAGCATAATAGCCAGGCGCAGTGGCACACGCCTATAATCCCAGTGAATTAGGTGGCTCAGACAGGAGGATCACAAGTTCAAAGTCAGTTCCAGCAACTTAGTGAGGCCCTTAAGCAACTGAGCAAGACTCTGTCTCTAAATAAAATACAAAAAAGGGCTGGGAATGTGGCTCAGTGATTGAGTGCCCCTGGGCTCAATCCCTGGTGCCAAAAAATAAATTAAAATAGCATAAAAGCCAGGCGTGGTGGCACATCCTGTATTCCTGGGGAATTAGGTGGCTGAGGCAGGAAGATCACAAATTCAAAGCCAGTCCCAGCAATTCAGCGAGGTCCTAAGCAACTTAGCAAGACACTGCCTCTAAATAAAATATAAAATGAGCTGGGGATGTAGCTCATTGGTTCAGCTCCCCTAGGTTCATAAATACAGAAATAAAAATAAAAATAACATAATCACAAATCCACTAATTCTTAAACCAGCAACAGTAATTTTCTAACATTCTCTAATATGCAGTCAGTATTCAAATCTCTCCAAACGCCCTTCCCCTTTTAAAAATCAAATACAGCTTCTGCTTTTAGGGACAGTGGCTGTTTTTAAGAAATTCATATAGTTGATATCCTCCTGCAGTTCCTCTTAGAAATATTGCTTTAAATAAGTGTTGATTCATGGGGTATTTTATCACAAATTCAACCATCACTCTGGCTTTTACTGAGATGGAATAAAGGGTCTGCATAACAGTAGACACTCTATTAAGGCTTCCCCCCCCCCCGCCAGAAAAAGCCTAAACCTAATTCCATTATTGTATAATTGTACAGTATAACTTTGAGCAATTCATTTTCTTCTGTGCCTCAGTGTCCAGGCCTGTAGAATGAATAGGTTAGCCCACATAATCTCTAAATTTCTTTCTGGCTGTTAAGATTCAATGTGTTTGGTTTTGTTTAGTTTCTTTCAAATACAGATGGCCCTCTGTATTCCAGTATTTCGAATCAGCAAATTCAATCAACTTTGGATGGAAAGTACCTGGGAAAAAATGGTATTTGTACTGACCAGGAATTGATCTTCCTTTTTTTCCTTGTCTGTATTCCCTAAACAATGCAGTATGACAACTATTTACATAGTTTACATTGTATTAGGTATTATAAATCATACAGAGATGATTTAAAGTACATAGATAGGATGTATGTAGGTACTATACAAATTTTGTATAAGGGAATTGAACATCTGTGGGTATTGGTCTTCAGCGGGGTTCCTGGAACTAATCCTCCTCAGAACAGAAGGGACAATTTACTACATCTACATGGTTTTATTTGCAAAGATGAGAGCATGTCTATTGTAGAAGACAGAAAGGTATTTGGTTTTGTTTGTTTATTCATTTGTGGAGTTTTGGGGTGGGGGTGTACAGGGGATTGACTCCAGGGGCTTTACCACCAAACTACATCCCCAGCCCTTTTTATTTTTTGAACTGCTAAGTTGCTGAGGGCCTTGCTGAGTAGCTGAGGCTGGCTTCAAACCTGCAATCCTCCTGCCTCGGCCTTCTGAGTTGCTGGGTTACAGTGTTGTGCTATACCCCAGGCATCAGCAGGGTATTTGAAATCAAAAGACCAATGAATCCTAACTCTAGTGCCCTTGGTTAATCATTAACCTTTCTGAGCCTCAATGTTGCACTGTATAAATTGTCTATCATATATTTCATCTCTTCTACCAAACATAAGCTTCTAGAGAGGTTTTCTCACATTCTTCTTTTTATCATCAAAGCCCATTGTTAACATCTGGTGCCTGGTCAAACTCAATAGGTTTGCTACATAAATGAATGGGCGTCATGCAATCTGAGGGTAATAGTGGCTCCTCTATTTGCCTTACAGGATCACTGTATGATGAAATGAGTTAATATATGTAAGTACACATTTTACATTTCATAATAAAATCATAAAATGTTATTATTTGTATTTGAAACATTCCAAGTAGAATTTTTACTTACTTATAAAACCTAGCCTTGTATCCAAGCCTTGCATAAAGAATGTGAGATAGGTATTTTTTTTTCTTTCCTATGCCCTTTATTATCTCTTTGGAAAATCATCCATCTCCCTCTGTTTCTCTTTTTAACTGAAGTACACTTCTGTGCATTCACTATCATTTTTAAGTTTTTCTCTAGGAGTCTTTTGGTAGAATTTTCACAAGTATGGATGGTCCCTGACTTAACAATGATTTGACTTATGATTTTTCAGCTCTATAATGTTGGACAAAAGCAATACACATTCAGTAGAAACTGCACTTTGAATCTGGATCTTTTCCCAGGGTAGCAATATGTAGTACAATTGTCTCTGGTGATGCTGGGCAGCAGCAGGGAGTCAAAGTCACAGCTCAGGTCAGCCAGGCGACCACCAGGGGACACAACACTTACTCTACCAAGCATTGCGTCCCCGGAATTATGGGGATATGGTGCTTAGTTTTCAGAATCATCATGTCTACAAAATGCCTGTCACTGAGTATATACAAGATATTCAATGCTTTAAATGGGCTTTGTAGTAATGATTCTACCCAACTCTAGGCTAATATAAATGTTCTATGCATGTTTAAGGTAAACTAGGTTAGGGTTAGGGTAGATTAAATATATTGAGAGGCATTTTTGAAGGCTGGGGGTGGAGCTGAGTGGCAGAATGCTTGCCTAGCATGTAATGGGCATTGGGTTCCATCACCAGCCCTGAAAAGGAAAAAAATTCAATTTGACATGATATTTTCAACTATATGATGGGTTTATTGGAAGCTAAACTCCGGTAAATTGAGGAGCTTCAGTAATCAGTAGCTTAGTGCCAATCTCATTCAAATAAAGCATTTTACTAACTTCTACAAATCAAAATAATGTCGGAGGCAGTATAACCTTGATTATATGAGATACACGAACTTTCTGATTTAGTGTTTACAGGAACCAGCTCTCTAAAGATGATCCTGATTCAGTTTCTGCTACAGTTCTACCTTCGAATATTTCCTTAAATGGTTCCTTTCTTTCTTCTTGGTAATGACATTAAATTTATTGTTTAATAATTCCTAATTACACCATTTTGAACCATGAACATTTCCCTTGAGTCTTGCACAACCCCTGGAGCAGCAGTTCCTGAAAGGAACTAAGCAATAATCCTCACCAAAAAATGGTGACACTTTTTACATTTAGAAAAGTACATATTATAAACTCTACTTGGTGATTCACTCCTTAGCATACTGAAGACCGAAAGATTTTGCTATAAATCTGTTGTATTTATTGTACATCAAATAAACTTGATTTAACTTGTTTAACTCAGCGTTTCTCAAGCTTCCTTATTTTATGTACCACTGAGAAAGAAAACCATTGCCAATGAGACTGACTCAATGCTAAGGTGCCATTAAACAGAAACCCTCGGGGATGTTAAAATGCAAAACTATGTGTATCTGGGAATGGGTATGTGAGGGTCTCATCAAATAGCACCTATGGGCATCCTGAGGATCCAGTTTTTTGGAACAACACTGGAAAACTATGCTGTGGCCTATAGCTTTCACAATTATTTCAAGGGAAACAAGCAGGAAGTTATTAAGAAGAATAAGACATCTTTTTAATTTAAAAAAATACTGGTCAGTTGTTCACAGTGTGAAATAAATGGGCCTTGTCCAGTTAAAAAGTAATTTCTAGGCACACATCAGAATGTAACTGTCCACCTGTCCTCAATGAGCTTGCAAATCTCTTTAAATTAAGATGGCATGTAATTAAATCATTCAGCTGGTTGACAGGCTTCTCCACGCAGGTAGTTTACTTTCACTTGAAATGACCCCTTTGCTTCTGAAGATCCCCACACCCTGAAGTGACTCAACTTCGTAACAGCACCATTAAAATCTCCAGCTTTACAGGCAATAAGCTTGGGCGTAAAGCATCAGTAACTCTATAGTGAGTCAGATGAAGAATGTGAATGCTGGGGAGGAGGGTTGGAGGCTAAGTTTGCTTTCAGGGCATGGGTGCGGCTGATAGCTTCGGCTCTACCGGCTCCTTTGCATGAGTGCACGGGCCTGACCCAAAACTCCCCTTTACACCCTTCTTCCTCCTTGCCAATCGGACTCCTCCGGACCTGGGGCAGGCGCCCCTGAGGGCTTGACTTCAGGGACATCGGGTACTATCCCAAGCTAGCCCAAGTACCCCATCTTCCGCTGTACGCCGGGTTTAGACCCCACTGATGCTCTGACTCCATCTTCCTGGTCGCGCCCCTGGGGTTTTCCAGACTCTCGGGGCTGGCAGGACAATCCGGGACCTCGTGCTGTCCTTCGAACCCCGGAACAGACATCCGATGACCCCGGGGTCACCTTCGCACCACTCTCTTCCCTCCACCTCACCCAGCCCTCTGTGCTACCACCAGACCGGTCCACGCCGCCGCCTTCTCCCCGGTTCCCGCCAGCCTCTCCAGAAGGCGCGGAGGGCGGCGGGGCTGCGGGGAGGCTCGCGAAGAACCACTTGTGGGAGCTGGGCCGCGCTTCCCCAGGGCGCTGCATCCGCCGCCGAGATGCTGGCAGCCTGGGGATGGCCTCACGCGGCCCTCTCCTTATTTATCCACCCAGCACAGTTTCCATGGCTCCGCCGCCATCCTCCCGCCCCCTTCCTCGCGCGGAGCCCAGCAGCAGTCGCCCGGCCCGCGGGTGGGGGACCGCGGGGGGCGTGCGCGGCGCGGGGCCCGCACGTCCTTTCCAAGGCCGGGGG